ATAGTCTTTTATCATCACCTAGAAACGTCAGTGAAAATGCATGCTGAACCCAAACGTAACTTTCACCAGTGTTTGGGGTTGAGTGAAATGTGGTATCAAATTGTGTATCACAGTCACTCATTCAAGTACAGTGATTAGAAAACCGACAGTGAACACTTAAGAGAGCTCAAAAAGTGAGAAAAAAAAAACTAAAACTAAAACCAGAGTGATCAAGTTGAACTTCACACATGCACATACACGGACAACTTCATCATGGTGTTTTTAACAGAACGTATTTGAACTGCATCGTGTTTTTTTGCTGTCCTTCCCAGTGGCACCATGTGTTAAAATGGTTGACAGTAGAAGTACAGTGTGCAAGCTGTCCAACATGCCAATAACATGACCTCAACCTCTGCTCCTTGGTGTACATTAGAGTTCAACTCAGTGAACACTCGCACTCTATACAAACAAAAGTCAACCTCAGCTAAACTATCTAAACTCAAGAAACCCCGTTTAGCTGACTGCGGTGGGAAGGTCAAAGATGAGTTAATAAGAAATCCCAACCGAATGAGTGAGCGACAGGTGAGTGGACTCAACTGTTAAACCGTGAGTGAGTTAGTGATGACAGGAAACAGGAGGCAGCCACACACAGCAAGGCTTGGGTGAGCAACACTTACAAAGTACAGTTAACATGGGAAATGAACAGTCAGGTTTGTTTCCTTTAGGACTCTACAGCAGAGGGAATGAGAAAAAAGACAAGAGAGATGACGAGTCACTGGGAAATAAAAAGGTGCTGGTGGATGCTCTGCGACACAGCAAACTGCTGCAATGAATGGAGGAAGAGCAAGAATGAATCAAATAGGGCTCAATGATTTATCATTGTCGTTTATGGAAATCTAGATTTTACATTTTATATCAGAAGAGCTGAATCAACAGTGTCTGAACAAGTCCTAACTTTGGGTAGGGACAATTCTGAAGACGCTATAAGGACAGCAGTCTCTGGTAGATTTATTCAGCTGGAGCTGTAGAGACATCGGTTGTTCTCTGGTTAATATGATATCTCTCTGCCAGTCAATGTATTGATGCGTGTCCAAAAATGGTTTAGTGGAAGAAGAAACACCACACTGTTTAATTTCTGATGTTTGAAAAAAGAAAAGAAAGGAATTGACTGTTTCTGTTTGCAGTTTATAGACAACCAACAGAGTGGTGACTTTATGTCTACATGAACATTTCAGGTATCTCGGCTGCTGACAGAGTTGCAGAATCTTGCAATTAAACCTAAAAGCGTCATATTGTTTTGAGCTTAGTTTCATTTATAGAAATAAATCCCAATTTAAATCACAAAAATGTTTTAAAAAAAAAATGTGTATTTAGACATTTTCCTTAAATCATTCAGCCTAAGATCAAATGCTGTGGGTTGGGAGAGCAGGTGATCTGTTAGACAGGAGGGTTAGGACTTTTAGCTCTAGAGGGACAACTTGAGCTCAGCCACAACTCTGCACTCAGCATGCACACTGTGAGCAGCAGGATCCAGGTTCAGTGTTTTCACTGTCTTTGACCTCTAACAACCAGATTTAATTTTAATTTTCTCCCTGGTTATTTCAAACTTGCATCTAAGGTGAAAGAAATCATATTTGCTCTCTTTCACTTGGTTCACTGAGACAGGAGCATGTCCCCTGTAGCCACTGTGCACCTTCTAACAGCTTTATCAGGAGAAGCCTAAAACTAATTGGGCATATAAGCCAAGTGAAGGTAAACACAAACCAAACAAAGGAAACAGGAAGTACGGAGCCCAACAAGAACAAAATAAAATCACATCCCATTACAACTAATTAATTGAGACTGTTAACCAATTGTACTGGGGTCCAGTACACAAAGCTGTGTAGACAGCCAGGTTAGAAACTAAGCCAGTGAGCAGTGCTAACAGAAGGCAACAGGGGACGAACTCTTGATAAACAGAACCACAATTCTGATTTCTTATTTAGCGGTTTGCTGCAGTTATTACTTGGGTACTGGGAAGTCATAACGTGTGAAGACAAATCTACAATAATCCATCACATGTATGGCTTACTTTTCCTTGTAAAAATGTAAGTACAGTGTTATATGCTAGCATTGAGGGTGCACTGCCAATGAGCGAACAACAGAACATCAATCAAGCTGCCCACAGTATTAGTACAGTAAGTTATAAATCCATTCTAAAAGGGTTTTGTCAGGTAACAGCAGATGAGTGAGTTAGTTCATTAGTATCAGCCTCTAGTCCTGGAAAAAGAGGCTCTGTGGAGACAAACAGGCAGCCTGCACATACAGTACAAGTTGAATACAATGTCCTAGATTAGTATAATGAACGGGGGCTGTGTGGTGTCTTACCCTCTCCCTGCATATCTGAAGTCCATAGTGTCAGGTTGTCACGTAACAACTGCATGATAAGTGTGGAGTCCTTGTAGCTGTCTTCACTCAGTGTGTCCAGTTCTGTGATGGCGTCATCAAACGCAGCCTTTGCCAACCTGAGCAAACACACCTCGGTTGAAATCACTTCACACTAAGAGATTTACATTTTAGCGGCATCAGAAAACGTATTCACACTCAAGGACCACGCTGGTTATTCTTCAAGCTGAAACATAGTACCTGTCACATTCAAATAAGGTATAAAGATATATTCTACATTATCCATCTGTGTCAGTAAAGGTGTTTATGTAACTCAATCCTTTTATTGTGTTTCCTTTATGTATGTGCGAACAACAAGTCAAAGCTACACAGGAATAACTTCAAAACAACGTTAATGTCCTGAAGTGGCCAAGTCAGGTTCTCAATCCACTCCTGAATGTGTGGATTTAAACTGCTGTTCACTATTAACCATGTTTTAATAATAACAGGGAAAACTCTGCAGTGTACAAAGGTGCCACTACTAAAAGTCAAAAGAGGCAGAATCACATCTACCGTGGTTCAATGTTGTTATACAATAAAACATGAAGGGGTCGGGGGAGTGAATACTTTTTTCAATGAACAAAGGGTTTCAAGTTTCAGCCTCACTGGTCAGAACAATGGCGATGGCGGGACAAAAGGCGAGAATGTCTAGTTAGAGTATGCATGGCAACTGGGGAGGATTAGTGAAGGTAGAATAAAAACAAGAGCTTATACCTCGGCTCTTTATTGGCAGGGTTCCTACACTCTGGATCAAACTTTGGAGGGTGCTATCTGCCGCTGTCCATTAAGTGAAAGAAAAACACTAGAGGAAGTATACTGGAGAAACAGTAACCTGCAAGCGCGGTCGGGTGAGTTGAGGATCTCGTAGTAGAAGACGGAGAAGTTGAGGGCGAGGCCGAGGCGGATGGGGTGCGTGGGAGGCAGCTCCAACGTGGCTAGGTCGGTAGCAGTTTTGTAGGCCACCAGGCTGTTCTCTGCTGCTTCCTTTCTGTTGTTGCCAGTGGCAAACTCAGCCAGATACCTGTGGTAGTCACCCTTCCTGGAAACGGGGAGAACAAAAGCAGCCGCAAATTTTACTTCCACAACTGTAGTGTTTTCTATGGATGAAAGAAATGAGTGTACACTAAAATCACAAGTTAATTGTTGTGCTGCTGATGGAACTAGCTGTGTAACCTATGAACCTTTACGGTATACACTGTAAAATATTCCTCTCAATATTCTGTATCCGATTATGTCAAACAATGTACAAGCACAAAAACATACTTATCACTCTGTGCAAGAGCTAAAGAGGGTTCATTTAATCATCTTTTCCATTTACATTCAGACCACAAAGCTCTTACATTTTGTTGTAGAAGACCTTAGACTCTCCCATGACAGCAGAGGGGAGTAGGTGCCTTTCCAGTGCATCCAGAATGTCACCACAGATTGACTTCAGCTCGTTCTCAACCTGCCACCAAACGCACAAAAACAATTATTCAATCAGCAGGACATTTCATTTGACCATCAGTCCAAGTTATAGACTCAGCCTCTGTGTGGCTGCCAGGGTCCATGTGAAGTAGATTTCATAATCTGCCCATGTCCCCCAGGATCAGTGCGGACCACCCCGTGCAGCCAAGACCGCAGGACTGCGTGGACTGTGTGCACCGCCAATGTGTGAGCATGTCTGTGTATGCAGTACACCCACTGCAGCTGTATGTATCCTCTTTTGGACTATATCCACCCTTCTAAAGCCCAAGCTAACAGCCTTCTTCTGGTCTGCTGGTAGCTTCAATATTTCATTTTACTGAGCCAATTTAGACATTATTGAATGTTCACCAGGTGCTGGGATAGTGATAGAAGAAATGTGCCCCCCAAGGGATTTAGAGAAGGACTAACGAAATGAAGGTGCAACAGCAGGATTACCCATCTCTGAATCCCATTAGGTCATTGACTGCAGTCCAACAGCCTCTCCCAGCTCTCTGACACACTCTGGCCTCTCCCAGATTAATAACCAGCTCTTATTTCCCCTTCATAAAAGCAAGAGAGAGTGGGGGATTTGCCAACTATGACTCAGATGCAGTCTGTCCAGTAGCTGCTCATAGTGTGTATTATTATTATGAGCTAGCGAGCTCACATTAGCACAGCAAATCGGAGATGCTTTGAAATAAGTAAGATATTTGGGACAATGGGACATGGTGAACCACTGTAAGTGCGCCTGACAGACATGCTCTAAATACAAATGCTAAGCTTGTTTATGAAAAGTACTGAGTGCTTTACCGTTTGCCTGTATTCCCGAATCATCTTCATTTTCTCTTCTCCGGCCTTGCTCTCTTCCCTCTGTTCGATACTGCTGATTATCCTCCAGGAAGCTCTCCGAGCTCCAATCACATTCTTGTAGGCCACTGATAGTAGGTTCCTCTCCTCCACTGTGAGCTCTACGTCCATGCCTGCCACGTCCTTCATTGACACCACCATTTCTGTTGAGGAGACAAATGTAACACTGCTTTAAGAACTCATCAACCTTGTACCTACGGAGCACACCCAACAACTAGCTGTCTATCTTCTCATCGGGGTGTCTTGATAAATGACAGCTTGAATCAAAAGGTGAGACTTCTGAAGTGTGACTTCTTCAAACTGCAGCGTCAATTCCTTTATTATGCTGTGACTGAACACCCTCCAAGTGGCAAACAGAGATTCAGGTGTACTGGAGGAAGCAACGGTAGCAGTGGTGTAACGGTTTACCTCGGTTTCGAGACTGTGGTTTGATATTTTCAGTACAGCAGGGAAAACAGAAATGAGGTTGAAAACAACACTTTTGTCATTTATTCTGAAAAATGTAAACATTTAACAATAACTCAGTAGTTCTATTAATTTTTACCGTAACAGTTACTGCACTCAAACACTGGCATATTGTCAAAAACAAATAACACAGATGTACGTAATGCTCCATCAGACTGACCTGTTAATCATTCCTGAACTACAGCTTGCACTCACTGATACAGGGCAGCACAACTAACTGATTCAAACGCACAAATGAAGGCAAGTTGTCGCTGTGCTAAAGCAGCACACGCTTAAATCCTGTACTTTAGTATGGTTGCACATCTGCAGCGCTCAACACTCTACAGCATTAGTTATTACATGGGCATAATCCACATGTGCAGTGTGAGCGTACCAGTTTGTGACATGACGATGACATGTTCAACACACAGGCCATTTCTAATGGTCGGGTCACAGGACGAACAGGACGAACAGAATGACCTGTACCAAACTGTACGGGACAAATACACTTACTGTTCCCTAACCAACAGTATGGCATCTCCACATACATGTGCATTACAAACCTGACAAACTCGGCAAAAACGTACAAGATATGTGTTTCGGGAGGAGTGTTAAAGGACCAGTGTGTAGGATTTAGTGGCCTCAATCTGTGTACTTGCAGATGGCAACTTCCCACCCGCTTTGATCCTCCCTTTCCACCAAGGAGAAACTACGGTGGTCCTGAAAAACGCAAACAGCCCAATCTGGAGCCAGTGTTTGGTTGGTCCCCTCTGGGCTTCTGTACAAACATGGCCCTTCAACATGGCCTCCATTTCAGGTCGACAGCATCTGAAATAAAAGGCTCATTCTGGGGTAAACCCTAACTCTACATGTTGAGGTGGCTTCCTTAACAGCACCAACCTCAACCTATCCGCTGTCACACACAAAGGCCCTTCAAACGGCTAATTGATTAATCAAGAAAGTGATTGACAGAATACAGCACTTGAAATTCAGGGATCTGAGACACAAAGATACAGTGTGGCGTCATTCTGGGACGGTGCAAATGAAATCATTAAATTAACATTATGGAATATAGGCTATATCATTTTAAATACTGTTGAAAAATGTGAGGTTGGGTGTTTGCATTTTTGCAGCGAACGTAATTTCTCCTTTGCGCTTGGAAGGCGGAGTAGCAATCTGCAACCACACTGCTAGATGCCACTTTAACCTTTAACTATATTTATTATACAGAATGGAAAAAACCATCCATCTGACAATGCTGTTAGGTCTGGGACAGCTGAAAGTAGAATTTGGGGCAGTTGGGGGACACTGAAGGGGAAAAAACTAAATGTCAAGACCTGACCGACTAATCAACATTGGAAATAACCATTAGTTGTAGTCCAAGTATGTTACATGTATTGTCCAAATGCCCGTCCAACAGGTTCCCTCTGCACAAAACCCAATTACTGACTTCCCTGATATACAATGCACCTTGCTGAATTGCATACCATCACTGTCAGGGTATTAACCTTTTTAAATAGCACTGACTTTGTGGTTTAGATGGTGAAAACGTGCAGGCTGGATCCTCTGACAGTAAATGACGGAATATAATCTACACATGCCCACTGTGAGAAAATAACTACATGTTAACGTGTTATAAGCTATTGCTGAACAGATATATGAATTCGTCTACATTTCTGCAGGGTAACCACTTAGCCAGTGAACCATAAATCACGCTGTAAATACACTCGGTCCAAATCCCGTGAATGAGTCATGGCACATTCACTTAACGTTACTGGGCAACGTAACGTTACGTTACTGGGCAACGTAACGTTACGACCGGTGGCAACGGCAGCCGTCTAAAAACAGCCTCCACGGCCTGTAATGGTATGACAGTGACGGGACAGGAGCGGGACAGGAGCAGGGAGTCGTTTTCACCAATCGATCCGTACAGGCTGCTTGCAGGGGAACACCCCACTCCCNNCCCACTCCCACTCCCTCTTAACACCGCTTCAAGTCGCTAACCTGCGATTCCGCTAGCTACCGCCTCGCTAATGTTACCGCTGGCTAGCATCGGTGACGGAATCACGCCAGAAAAACCAACTTGGGCCGTTATTGTGGTTACAAGACGGCAACGCGACTGTGGGTGTTGCTTATAGGAGCTCACCAGTAGCTCAAGTGTTAAGCTACAGAGCTAGCATGGTGCAGGGGAGGCAACTCCTGACAGCTCACGCTCCACTGATCCGCCATTTTGTTGTAGCCCCTTCGCTAACGTTAGCCACTGTCACTCACATCCGCACAGTTTCCCTAAAACAAAGTCACTTCCTGGCACTGGCTCCTATTTTAATGTCGCATTAGTTTCTTCCAGCGAGCAGCCATCTACCATGTCAATGAATAGTTAGCTGAAAGGCGGCGGTCGTAGCCACTTTAGCTTGTTAGCCGCGGCTAGCAGTGAGCTAGCGCTGCCTGTGTTAGTGGAGCAGTGCTCCGTTAACGGGAGCTAGCAGACGTTAGCTCACGTTAGCTCGGAGGAAAAAAAAATCCGTGCGTCGGTGAACATGTCCCAGTCCGAACGAGCCCTGAGAGAGTGGCTTACCGTCATATCGCTCTGCCTGCTCGGCCAGCTTTGCCTGATAAACTAGGTCCTCTCGCTCTCCCATTGTGTATCGAGGTGACGGTAGCGTCGGGAACTATTCAAAGTGACAGTTCTTCGGTGAGAAACACGGCGCTGTGTGTGTGTGTCAGCTCTGTCGGCGGTTCCTAGAAATCAACTGGGTCGATGAGTGCTGTTCCGCCCCACGGAGACGGTTCTGATTGCAGCCGCGGCGGGGCGTTCCTGTAGAGTCCTCAGCTCTGATTGGTTCTTGGGTTACGGGAACGCCCACTTTTCTTCTTCTCTACTTTGTATTCTTTTGGCCAATTCGTTGGCCCTCTAGTGGCCGTTTGACACTGACACAACCTTATTTTTCTGTAAAAATAAATCTAATTTAGATCCTATTTTTTGATTTTCAAAACTTATTGAAATCTTAAAAATGATCCTTTTCGCACCCATTTTGGGTTACATTAAAATTAAATTAGAAATATCGGTCGCTTTTTAATACAAAATTAACAGATAAACCCAGTAATTATGTCTATTTACACCGTACATTAACTATGTTTACGTTACAAGACACACGTTGATTTAACAT